AACTACATATCCAGAAGACAGCGAGTGTGCCCTTATGGGCCCCCTTTGTCACCTGACGCGCACTCCCTCACCCAACGCCTCTTAGTATTTGTGGCGCCTGAGTGGCAGCACGTTCAGATTGCAGAATACGCTCGCTATCTAGACGCGCTCATAGGCCCAGCAGGAACTTCAGACATCCAATGGAAAGCCGCAGTTGATAAATACTGGTTGCGCGTTGTACAAGTAGCGGCGAGCGCTGCTGGCCCCGCAGCGGCGCTCAAACTGTATAACACATGTGTGATCACTGTCCTCTCGTACCCAACGCAGTATTTTCCATTTCCGGTCACGTCCCTGCGACACGAACGCGGCACCCTACATGAGATTATCAGGTCTCCCCCCAACTCTTGGCGCCTCGTCGGCCTCCTCGGTACTCGCTCGTGGTCGCAACCGTCCTCCCCCAATTCACTGATCACGCTTCCACTGGCCGCAGCGTGGCGCACGGCTGGAAGCCACTGCGTCGCCCTTCTTAGTACTTGCTCAAGACCATCTCAACCCAGAACCGTCCCTGGCGGATTTGGCCCATGCCCGTATTCGGGCCACCGTTTCTCCCGCGTGTTGGAAGAGCCCTGGCATCGTCGAATACTGGCGCGAGCTTGCTGACGGGAAACCACCGCACTCCGTCTCACTGCTCGTCTGGCGTGCAGCTCAGCGAGCGGCCGCAGACGAACAGACTGCCGCTGCCCAAGAACCTAGGCGTGGTAGGGTCCAGCGCCCCCTCGCTTCGGTCCTCCATTCCTCCTTCTTCCCCGACAAGTTCGCTGAGACTCTTGCACGCCGTTTCCCTTCGGCGCTGCCCGATCTCGTAGTGCCACGGAATCTGCCCGACCGCTGGCAGGAATGAACCAGTCACCTCCCGAAGAAGGCCCCAGCCATTCGCTGGGCCGTATATAAGACTCTGGCGGGAGCGCGGTGGACCAGCCACCGCTTCCCCTTCGGCCCGCGCCGCACCTGTCTGCTCGGGTGCGATGTTTGCCCAGATTGTCTCGTCCATGACCTTACCTGCCCCCGCCTCCTCCACTTCCTCGCTTGACCTCGTTCCTCCCCCACCTCGGACCCCCTTTCGTTCGCATCGGCCTGGGGACGCGCGGGCAACGCGCTGACCCTGAGTAAGCTATTCCTGAAGTTGTCCGCCGGACAGCGCTTTCATTTCACTTCTATAACAAACTGCGCGTCATCACGCGCGCCGCGCCTCGCGCCGCGCTTCTTTACACTGGCATTGAGTGCCGCGCCGCTGCACTGCACGCGATGAGGCAGTAGACCGAGACGAACCTGGAGCGGGGACACTTGCCCTCTTCTCGCGTCTTGCCCGCTTGCCCTTTGTCTCTTCCTTTCTTGGCGGTCGTTCGTCCTTCTCCGCCTCTGCCTCATTCCCCATCCATCCTCCCTTTCCCCCCCCCTTCCGCCGCAGCCTCTTGGGAGTGGACCTCTTGGAGGCCTTTTGGGGGCTGGCCAAGATGGCCCCGAGACGGCCCGAGGGGGCCCCAAGACACCAAGAGAGGCCCAAGAGAGCACCACGAGCCTCCCAAGAGAGCCCCTAGAGGCCGCCAAGAGAGCCCCCAGAGGCCGCCGAGAGAGGACCTTCTTGGGCCATCTTACCCGTATCGGGGTAAATCCGTTTCTCCCCGCTTTCGCCGTTGGGAGCCTTGGCGTGGAGAGCTTTCTGCGTTACCGATCACTCTTTATTTGGCGTCCCTGGGTCTTCTGGGCCGTCCTCTTGGGGCCTATTCGGGGCTCTTTTGGATTGCCCTTCTTGGGACAGTTGAGGACGTCTTGGAGCCTCTTCGAGGCCTGTGGCCGTCTTGGGGCTGTCTTGACGGCCTCTTGGAGCCCTCTTAGGAGCCTCCTGGGGCTCTCTTGGGGCCGTCGGTGGACCCTGTCGGACCGTTTGGGGACCCTATTGGCCAGTTTTGGGGCTCTCTTTGGCAACTTTCGGACCCTTCCGGGGACCTCTTCAGCCGTCTTGGGACGATCCCTGGAGCTTGCGAGGCTGCTTTCGGCCGTTCCTGGCCAGGGAAAAAAAAAGAAAAACCCAATAAACTTGCAAACACAACAACTGGAATGTTGTCTCCTCGGGCTCTCTATTGGGAAGCCTTTTTGAGGCTACTTGGAGCGTCTTCGGGGGCTCTTTGACCGCCCCTAAGCCATCTTAGGGCGTTTCGGGGGTTTCTTGGACCGTCGTGGAGCGAACTGAGGCCGTCTTGGAACGCCGCTCTGGGGACGTCTTGGGGCCCTCTTGGGCCGTCTTGCGGGTATCGGGGACCGTTTTGGGCCCCCGCAGAGGCTATTAGACTTTTCGACCGGCCGCCCCCCCCCTTGGACCCCCCCCCTGGGGCTGACGCCCTACCAAGAACGGAACCGCGTGAACGCTCTTTCCGTCAACATGGTAAGTCAGGTGATGATTTGGTGGACCTGGCCGCATTGGACACTGCCTTCAGCATATCCCACCGCTCTGCTCCCAGAACACGTGTCACAGGCAGACACCGATGAACAACGTGAGGTGTTTCAGCGGCTTCCGTCCCAGAGGACGCTTGTAATTGTTCGGGTCGGTCGTGGGAGGCCTCCACAGGGAGCGCATGCGCGCGCCCGCGTGACCCGAGCCAACGCCAGAGAGAGAGAGAGAAATCCTGAAGTCGTAGCGGCGTCCGAGAATGTTTTCGCAGAGTCGCGTTGGCCTCAGTTTGTGCCCCGGCAGGCTCCTGCATGGATAGCCCCTGCGGTCTCGCCGACAATCACGTTGAATTGCTCCGGATGTGGGCCTGCATGGACGGTGCCCGCCGCTGTCCGATGAACAGAGAGGACCAGCGATCGCCTCAAAAACGAGTTGAACGCATAGCGGATCAAGAGGGAGCCGTGCTGTCTCGGCGCGCGAGGGCTCCTCGCGGCGGAGTCCATAGAGTTACTTGCGGCGTCCGAGTAGGAAGTACCGTCTTGAGCAGAGGTCTTGCAGATCCAAGTCGAGCGCTGCAGCGGCCGAATCACGAATTCCGGGCTTGCGATCTCCGGCACGGACCGCGAAGACGGAGCCTTCGTGGCACGCCGGGGAGGAGCGTCCATCGTGCCCAAGATGAGGCTCCACGCTTGGCCGAATGTAAGGCCGTGTGATAGGCTTTGCTCGAGGCCCTCTCGACAGCACGGATGCAGCTCGAGAGTATTCATAACATGGAGAAGTAGAGTTTCGTGATCAGGTTTCTGAGGATCTCCCGCACGCCAGGGCAGTGCAAACAAGTCTTCGGGCATTGCGTGAAATGTGGGTTGAGTGCGACGCAGAGGATTTTGCAGAACCAAGTTGATAAAGGCCAGTAAGGAGACTGGACAGGGGCTTCCTGTCCTCTGAGAACAAATAGGTTTACCAGTGAGACCGGCCCAGCAATGGACATCAGCAAGGCCACATAAGATACCATTGGCGCCGCATTCGGCCAGATGATCAGCACGCTCGTTCAAGTATTGCCCGGAGTTGATAAAGGCCGAGCCCCCTTTTCCAGTTGCCGTGACTTGGAGCGTGTATTCGCACGGATAGTTCCGAAGGACAAATATGATGGAGGCATTCGGGATGCATGTAAGGATTGGGGCAGGTACAATTCCAGCGATTTCCACGAGGATGAGTCGGCACCCGCCCCGATCATGCAAAGATCTGCCCGCGCTAGATCAAGACCACAACTGAAACGAAACAAGCTAGGCGTTTGCAGACGGTAAGACCAAGACAACTCGGGAGGTAGGAATGAGGATGAGGCAAGCGACGTGCGCTCGCGCCACATCTGACATCCCACATTCCCACCCATCCCTTCCCATCGCGTTGCATATTGTTCAACCCGCCGACTGAGATGTCCAATGAGACATGGGCGTGGATCCTCGAACGGTGATTGCAGGATGGACCATCGTTTGCTGCTCAATGGGCAATCGGCATGGGGGGCTTTGGACATTGCCGAGGGGAATGGAGAAGGTGGAAAATGAGGGGGAGAAGGAGGAGTCCGAGAAGAAGAATAACAAGATGAGCAGGAGCAAGAAGAGTATGAGGAGCAGGAGGAGCAGATAAGGCGGGGAAGGGGAACAGGATCAGAGCGCTGGGGCGAGAGCGCCAGTCTGAACGACAGGAGCAAAGCACCGATCCTGAAACGTGGCCAGCGCTGCAGCGAGGGCATCATTTTCCAGGACTGAAGACGTTCCGACCAGCAAATATCTACGCCATGCCAAGTGTTGAAGTCTTGTGTTTGAAAGAAACGGGAAGGGATAGGTAAACGGTTGGGTGTTGCCAGGAGAGAGAGAGAGAGAGAGAGAGAGAGAGAGAGAGAGAAAAACAAAGAGAGAGAGAGAGAGAGAAAGAGTGAAAGAGAGAGAGAGAGAAGCAGAGAGAGAGAGAGGGAGACCGAGAGAGAGAGAGGGAGGGAGGGAGTTGAAAGGAGGGAGGGACCTATGGAAAGATAGAGGGGGAGACAGAGAGAGAGGGAGGGAGGGAGAGAGAGGGGGAGCCAGGGAGGGATAAAGGAGAGGAGAGGAGAGGAGATGAGATCAGAGAATTGTGTTGATATTGAGCACGTGGAGACGGCAAGGATAATGGGAATTGACGAGAAGGGAGAGACGAGAAAGGAGGATGGGAATGGAGGAGGGGAAAGGAGAGACGAGGAAGAGGGGGCGTAGCAGCAGAAGCCGGAGCTAGAGGTGGGAGGGATGAAGATGAAGAGGAGGGAGGGACGACTTGGAGGAATACGGAGGGGAAGGGGGCGGGAGGGAAGGAGGAGATAGGAGGGAAAATGAAGCAGGTAGGAGGCACTGAGCATGGAGGAGGACGGAAAGAAGAGGAAGGGGGGAGATTGGAAGGGAGCCAGAGCAGCAGCACGAGCAGGAGGCGGAGCCAGAAGTGCGAGGGGGAGACGGAGGAGAGGAGGGCAGAGGGGGGAGGGTCAGGAGGAGGCGGGACCGGAGGCGGGGGACGGGAGAGGGAGCCCGTCGTCCCGCCCCTGCAGGCTCGGCGGCTTCGAGCCGCACTCGCAGCCATTCGTGCAGGCGCCCCGCCGGCGAAAGAAATCGTCGCCGTCCCCCTCGTCGTCCCCACCGTCGTCGCCGTCCTCGCCCTTCTCGTCATCCTCGCCCTCCGCCTCCTGCTGCGTCCTCTATCTCCACCTGCTTGTCCAGCCCATGCCCACATCATCATCTTCATAGCCATCATCCTAATAAGTCATGGGTCATGGCCAACGTCATCCTCGTCATCCTCGTCATCCTCGACATCCTCGTCATCATCATCATCATCATCATCATCATCATCATCATCATCATCATCATCATCGTCATCGTCATCATCGTCATCGTCATCGTTATCGTCATCGTCATCGTCGTCGTCGCCATCGTCATCGTCATCGTCATCGTCATCATCATGTGCATTATCATCATCAGTATCAGAATCATCATCATCAGCATCATCATCACCATCACCATCACCAGCATCATCATCAGAATCATCGTCGTCATCGTCCTCGTCGCTATCGTCATCGTCATCACCATCATCAGCATGAGCATCAGCACCGTCATCACCAGGATTATCATCGTCATCATCAGTATCATCATCGTCATCATCATCCTGCTCGTCTGGCCCGTGCCCCCACATCGTCATAGCCATCATCTGAATAAGTCATGGCCAACGTCATCATCATCACCATCATTCATCATCACTCATCATCACAATCATAAGCAGCATCCTTGTCATCATAGTCATAATCATCATCATCATCAGCAACAGCATCATCACCATCATCATCACTATCATCACCCTCACCATCATCATCATCACCCTCGCCGTCATCCTCATCCTCCCTCATTCCGCCTTCGTCGTCCCTATTTCTCCTCATCGTCATGCTCATCTGCTTGTCGGTCAGGATTAAGTTATCCTGCGCCCCCCTCTCTGGCTGACTTTTCCCTCCCCTTTCTATACACTGCGTCATAATCGTCAGCAGCAGTAGCACCATCATCATCATCACCACCATCATCATCATCATCATAATCATCATCATCATCATCATCATCATCATCATCATCATCATCATCATCATCATCACCATCATCACCACCACCATCATCAGCAGCAGCAGCAGCATCACTCCTTCTCGTCCCCCGTCCTTTCCCTCTCCCCTCCTATTCTGGCACGCCTTTCCCCTCCCCCATCCCCTCCCCCCCCCTCCCCTCCCTCATCCTGCCCCCTCCTCCTCCTCCTCCTCCTCCTCCTCCTGATCTGTCTCATCCCTCCTTCATTACCCCCCTCACTCGTCTCGATTCCTCCTCCTCCTCGTCCTCTTCTTTTGCCACGGAGACTGGCTCCCAGGACACTCCAGGACATTCCTCGTCCTCTTCCTTATCTTGTCTCTCCCGCTGGGGATCGCGGTGCCCAGTTTTGTGGCGTGCCCAGCGGGCCTCGGGCGGCGACGACGGACCGCGCTGGCACCAGGGCGTTGGTCATGGCGATGGGGCCGAGGGTTTGGGGGACCCGACGCACGCATCGAAACGATAGCGGCGTCGGAGGTCCCGCTCTTCTCGTCCTCTTCCCCGTTCTGCCCCTATCCCTACGCACCTCCGTATAAGCCTGCCCCACTTTCACCGCGGCCAGGACATCGCGGGCAGCGGCCCGGAGGCGGCTCGGGCGTGCGACGCCGCCGGGCGGCTGCGCGGGCGCTGGCGGGGGCCGCGGTGCCCGCTGGATTGTTCGTGGCACAGCGCAGCGCGGAGTCATGCGCGCTCAGCCTGGTGTACACCTTAGGCGATGCTTAAGAAAACCTAAGTTTTCGGCCAGAGTCTCGATTATTCTTAACGTTTCAATGTAAATCTTAAGATTGTAATGGAAATGTTGGGTTTTTATTCAAGTTCTGAGACTATGAATTTCTTAACCCATGATTTCTTAAGCATTTCGCAGGGTGTAGAATTATTCCCCTTGTACCCAGGCCCAGGCCATTGGAGTGCTTCTGGCCCCCAGGCATTTGCGCAGGAATGTGCGCTCTGACCGCCTGTTTTCGCCTTCGCGCCGCCCACTCCTGTCTTTCATTCGCCCTGTCCTTTCCCCACAAGTTTCAGTGCCTAACTGGACAGGCTGCTCCATGCGGAGATGCCACGGCGGATATGCCCCACCGCGTGGCTGGCACACTAAGCAGAGAGGAGACGCCGAGTGCATGTCAAGTGCCTCGTGTCAGATTGCTTTTTGCCTCGGGCGCTGCGGAGCCAGTCTCGTGGCGGCTGCCTGTGGAGAGGTCTGCAATGAGCTGGATGGCGTTGCGTGGCTGCCCGATTCGGGTGCGTGCGATGGGTGTGTACGCCTTCTGGCCAAGGTAGGAGAGCATATACGCCGATCCTGGGCCCACAGGATGGGCCAGGCCAGGATCGGTGTTGGTGTACGTTATGGGTCCTCCGTCCAGTGCTGATCGGCGAGATAGGTTGTGGCGGTGCGCCATTTCGCACCGTCCCTCCCCACTCTGCTCTTCTACTCGTCCTTCGCCTCCTCGGCGTGTGCCGCTAGAGGACTCTGACCAGCGGACCGCAGAGTTCTGTGCGGCGGCGCGCTGGATCGCCGCCGGTTGTGCACCAGGGGCTCCGCTCGCGAGCGCGGCTTGGCAGGAATGCTGTCGAGCGCCCCCCCGACGGGGTTTGGGGGTCCGCTTCATTCGGTGGGCTCCAGCCCGCGGTGTTCTACTGCACCATTCTGGAGGAGCGCAGAGGCAACACTAAAGGCCACTAATCCCCCCCTCGCCCTCCCCTTCCCTCTGCACCTCCCCCTCCCCAGAACCCGACGAGTCGTCGGGTCGTCGCCGTCACGACGCCGCCGCCGCCGACGACGACGACGACGCCGCCGCCGACAACAACAAGAACGACGACGACGGCGCCGACGGCGGCCCTACCTGCCGCCAGCGCGGCCAGACGTCCTTCGCTCCCTCGCTGGCCGAGCCCGTTGCGTCCCGACAGCGCCCCTGAGACTGGGCGACGGCGGCCCACGCGCGCTGCGCGGTGGGTGTGTGGGTGTGTGTTTGCGTTTGTGTGTGTGTTTGCGTTTGTGGTTGTGTGTTGTGTGTTCGTTTGTGTCTGTGTTTGTGTTTGTGTTTGTGTTTGTGCATGTTGTTGTGTGTGTGTGTTTGTGTGCGCTTGTTGTTGTCTTTCTGGTTGTGGTTGTGTTTCTGTGTCATTGTGTTTGTGCTTCTGGTTGTGTTTGTGGTTGTGTTTGTTGCTGTGTATATGTGTGTGTGCTTGTCTTTGTGTTTGTGGTTGTGTTTGTGGTTGTGGTTGTGTTTGTGTGTGGGTTTGTGTTTGTGTGTGTTTGTGGTTGTGTTTGTGTCTGTGGTTGTGTGTGGTTTTGTGTGCTTGTGTTTGTGTTTGTGATTGTGAAAAAGGGTCAGGTTGTGTTTGTGTGTTTGTGTTTGTCTGTGTGTTTGTGTTTGTGTTTGTGGTTGTGTTTGTTGTGTGTGTCTTTGTGTGTGCTTGAAGTGGTTGTGTTTGTGTGTGTTTGTGCTTGTGTTTTTGTGTTTGTGTTTGTGTTTTTGTGTGTTGTTATGTGTGCCTTTGTGTTTGTGCTTGTGTTTGTGGTTGTGTTTGTGGTTGTGGTTGTGCTTGTGTGTGTGTTTGTGATTGTGCGTGTGTTTGTGTGTAGTTCGCTTTGTGTTTGTTGTTGTGTGTGTGTTTTTTGTGTGTGTGTGTGCTTGTGGTTGTGGTTGTGGTTGTGTTTATGTTTGTTTGTTGTTGTGCTTGTGCGTGTGTGTTTGTGCTTTGGTTTGTCCTTCTTGTTGTGTGTGTCTTTGTGTGTGTTTGTGGTTGTGTTTGTGATTGTGCGTGTGTTTGTGTATGTTTGTGGTTGTGCGTGTGTTGGCGTTTGTGTTTGTGCCTGTTGTTGTGTGTGTGTGTCTTTGTGTGTGCTTCTGTTTGTTGTTGTGGATGTGTTTGTGTGTGTGTTGGTGTTTGTGTTTGAGTGTGTGTTTATTGTTGTGTGTGCTTTTGTGTGTGCTTGGTTTTCTGTTTGTGGTTGTGTGGTGTGGTTGTGTTTGTGTAGGTTTGTGGTTGTGGTTGTGGTTGTGTGTGTTTGTGTTTGTTGTTGTGTGTGTCTGTGGTTGTGTTTGTGGTTGTGTTTGTGGTTGTGTTCCTGTTTGCGTGTGTTTGTGAGTGTGCTTGTGTGTGTCTGTGTTTGTTTTTGTTGTTGTGTCTGTGTCTTTGTGTGCGTGCTTGTGTTTGTGTTTGTTGTTGTGGTTGTGTTTGTGTGTGTTTGTGGTTGTGGTTGTGGTTGTGTTTGTGGTTGTGTGTTGTTGTGTGTGTCTTTGTGTGTGCTGTTGTTTGTGGTTGTGGTTGTGGTTGAGGTTGTGTGTTGGGCGGGTTTGTGCTTGTGCTTGTGCTTGTGTGTGTGTTTATGGTTGTTGTTGTGCGCGTCTTTGTGTGTATGCTTGTGCTTGTGGTTGTGGTTGTGGTTGTGGATGTGGATGTGTTTGTGTGTGGTAATGTGTGTGCTTGTGTTTGTGTTTGTTTTTCCCAACCATCCTGTGGTGTTGGGTCCTCGTTTTGAAGAAACGGTCCCCGCGTCCTCCTCTCCTCCTCTGCCCCCTCCTCCTTGCTGCCGCCCGCATGCGTCACCCACACCTAATTCGGCACACCCCTCACACGTTTCGTGGCCCCATAGGAGCTCCGCCGAAGGCCCCAGTGCTGCCGCTCGCATGCGTCACCCACACCCAATTCGGCACACCCCTCACACGCTTCGTGGCCCCATCGGAGCTCTGCCGAAGGCCCCAGTGCTGCCGCCCGCATGCGTCACCCACACCCAATTCGGCACACCCCTCACACGTTTCGTGGCCCCATAGGAGCTCCGCCGAAGGCCCCAGTGCTGCCGCCCGCATGCGTCACCCACACCCAATTCGGCACACCCCTCACACGTTTCGTGGCCCCACAGGAGCTCCGCCGAAGGCCCCAGTGCTGCCGCCCGCATGCGTCACCCACACCCAATTCGGCACACCCCTCACACGTTTCGTGGCCCCATAGGGAGCTCCGCCGAAGGCCCCAGTGCTGCCCGCATGCGTCGGCACACCCCTCACACGTTTCGTGGCCCCATCCAACGCTCACACGCGTGGCCCCATAGGCTGCTGCCGCCCGCATGCGTCACCACACCCAATTCGGCACACCCCTCACACGTTTCGTGGCCCCATAGGGAGCTCCGCCGAAGGCCCCAGTGCTGCCGCCCGCATGCGTCACCACACCCAATTCGGCACACCCCTCACACGTTTCGTGGCCCCATAGGAGCTCCGCCGAAGGCCCCAGTGCTGCCGCCCGCATGCGTCACCCACACCCAATTCGGCACACCCCTCACACGTTTCGTGGCCCCATAGGGAGCTCCGCCGAAGGCCCCAGTGCCCGCGCCCGCATGCGTCACCACACGGCACACCGTTCGTGGCCCCATATTGCACAATTCGGCACACCCCTCCACGTTCGTGGCCCCATAGGGAGCTCCGCCGAAGGCCCCAGTGCTGCCGCCCGCATGCGTCACCCACACCCAATTCGGCACACCCCTCACACGTTTCGTGGCCCCATAGGGAGCTCCACCGAAGGCCCCAGTGCTGCCGCCCGCATGCGTCACCCACACCCAATTCGGCACACCCCTCACACGTTTCGTGGCCCCATAGGGAGCTCCGCCGAAGGCCCCAGTGCTGCCGCCCGCATGCGTCACCCACACCCAATTCGGCACACCCCTCACACGTTTCGTGGCCCCATAGGGAGCTCCGCCGAAGGCCCCAGTGCTGCCGCCCGCATGCGTCACGCACACCCAATTTGGCACACCCCTCACACGTTTCGTGGCCCCAAAGGGAGCTCCACCGAAGGTCCCGGTGGGTGTGTCCGCATGCGTCCCGCACATTCATTTCGGCACACCCCTCACACGTTTCGTGGCCCCATAGCGAGGTCCACCGAAGGCCCCAGTGTTGCCGCCCGCATGCGTCCCGCACACACATGTCGGCACACCCCTCACGCGCTTCGTGGCCCCATAGCGAGGTCCACCGAAGGTCCCAGTGGGTGTGCCCGCATGCGTCCCGCACACCTATTTCGGCATACCCTTCACACGTTTCGTGGCCCCATGCGGAGCTCCACCGAAGGCCCCAGTGGGTGTGCCCGCATGCGTCCCGCACACCAATTTCGGCACACCTCTCACGCGTTTCGTGACCCCTCACACGTTTCGTGGTCCCATAGGGAGCTCCACCGAAGGCCCCAGTGGGTGTGCCCGCATGCGTCCCGCACGCTCATTTCGGCACACCCCTCGCACGTTTCGTGGCCCCGTAGGGGGCTCCACCGAAGGTCCCAGTGCTGCCGCCCGCATGCGTCCCGCACACCTATTTCGGCATACCCTTCACACGTTTCGTGGCCCCACAGGGAGCTCCGCCGAAGGCCCCAGTAGGTGTGCCCGCATGCGTCCCGCACACCCATTTCGGCACACCCTTCACGCGTTTCGTGACCCCTCACACGTTTTGTGGTCCCATAGGGAGCTCCACCGAAGGCCCCAGTGGGTGTGCCCGCATGCGTCCCGCACACCCATTTCGGCACACCCCTCGTACGTTTCGTGGCCCCGCAGGGAGCTCCACCGAAGGTCCCAGCGGGTGTGCCCGCATGCGTCCCGCACACCCATTTCGGCACACCCCTCACACGCTTCGTGGGCCCATCCGTGGCCCCGTAGGGGGCTCCACCGAAGGTCCCAGCGGGTGTGCCCGCATGCGTCCCGCACACCCATTTCGGCACACCTCTCACACGTTTCGTGGGCCCATAGGGAGCCCCACCGAAGGTTTCAGTGGGTGTGCCCGCATGCGTCCCGCACACCCATTTCGGCACACCCCTCACACGCTTCGTGGCCCCATAGGGAGCGCCACCGAAGAAGATATTCACAATTGCGGCACTCATAATTGCATATGGTTGGGTCCTTCGCCAGGATGATTGTGTGTTGTTGTTGTGTTTGTCGTTGTGTGTGTGTTTGTGTGTGTGTTTGTGTTTGTGTCTGTGGTTGTGGTTGATTTTGTCTTTGTGGTTGTTGTTGTGTGTGTCTTTGTGTGTGTGCTTGTGGTTGTGGTTGTGTTTGTTCGTGTTTGTGGTTGTGCTTGTGCTTGTGGTTGTGTGTATGCGTGTTTGTTGTTGTGTGTGTGTCTTTTAGTGTGTGTGCTTTTGTTTGTGTTTGTGGTTGTGTTTGTAGTTGTGGTTGTGCTTGTGCGTGTGGTTGTGCTTGTGCTTGTGTTTGAATGTGTGTTTGTGAGTATGTGTGTTGTTGTTGTGTGTGTGTCTTTGTTTGTGTCTGTGTCTGTGCTTGTGGTTGTGTCTGTGGTTTTGTTTGTGTGTGTTTGTGTTTGTGATTGTGCTTGTGTCTGTGTCTGTGTGCCTGTGTGTCTTTGTGTGCTTGTGTTTGTGTTTGTTGTTGTGTTTGTGGTTGTGGTTGTGATTGTGTGTGTTTGTGTTTGTGCGTGCGTTTGGTTTTGTGTTTTTGTTTGTGTCTGTTGTTGTGTGGGCCTGTTGTGTTTGTCGTTGTGGATGTGTTTGTGGTTGCTGTTGTGTGTGTCTTTGTGTGTGCTTGTGTTTGTGCTTGTGGTTATGTTTGTGGTTGTGTTCGTGTGAGTTTGTGCTTGTGCTTGTGCTTGTGTTTGTGATTGTGTGTTGTTGTGTGTGCTTGTGTTTGTGTTTGTGTGCTGTGCGTGTGCTTGTGGTTGTGGATGTGGCTGTGGCTGCGGTTGTGGGTGTGGGTGTGTGTGTGTTTTTGCTTGTGTGTGTGTCTGTCTTTGTGGTTGTGTTTGCGTCTGTGTATGGTTGTGGTTGTGTTTGTGTTCGTGTGTGTTTGTGTTTGTGTGTGTGTTGTGATTGTGCTTTTGCTTTTGGTTGTGTATGTTGTGGTTGAGGTTGTGTTTGTGCGTGTCTGTGTTTATGATTGTGTGTGTGCTTGTGCTTGTGCTTGTGTTTGTGTCTGGGTGCTTATGTGATTGCGTTTGTGTTCGTGCGTGTGCTCGTGTTTGTGTTTGTGTTTGTGTTTGTGTTATGTGTGTGGTTGTGTGTTGTGGTTGTGGATGTGGTTGCGGTTGTGGGTATGCTTGTGTTTGTGTGTTGTGCTTGTGGTTGTGT